AACATAAGATGTACTACATTCACCCGGATGATCATAATGTACATGTTACTTCGATAAACATACGATGTATGTATACGTGTTATAAGTTTAACTTACTTCTTAAATACGCTCTTTAACTTTCGAAATTGGCGAAATATAGCTTAAATCCAGGGTAAATATACATGTCAAAGAAGTGCTCCGGATCTTTTCATGATCAACTGCCTTATGATACAAAATATCACTTTCCTAACTGTTTTTAAACTTACTGTATTAAGTCTTAACTATCGTGAAGGATAAACAATGCACTCACCTTATTGAAATGTTCCTTTTCTTGACCGTAGAAGAAAAAATTCCAAAATATTCGCTTCTTCGAAATACCCGAAACTACAACTAAATTTCAATTCATATAAACAGTATTTGACAAAATACGGTATAAAATTTCTCTCCCCGTCGCGAGTCCCATTGGACGCCATTAAAATGCAGTTGACTGTTGCTAGACAACGGGTCCCAGACACCTAGCGCAATAAAACTCTGCTGGGGGCTAATCAGTCTCTGAAAGCCATGCCTTAACTTCGCTGAGTGTAAGTAAACTAAGGAAGAGAAAATCCAACCTCTGGAACACAGGATGTGTAGTGGATAACTTTATCTAACTTTCTCAAAACTTTATAAGTTGTGTATGCTCTTATATAAAAGTATTATCAAGAGACCTTTACTATAATAACAAACTATATTATTGCTACCAAGTACTTGGACCATCAATATCAAATATCAAGCTTTTCCTTTCTCTTTTTATGGATTTACAGTGTGGTGGATGTAACTGGGACTTCTTCAGTGGGAAGGAATGACTGCACTATAATAAATGGTTCTGTGGTGATCCCACCAGATACCACATTTCAGTCAGATGACTCGGATAGCGAGGATATTCCATTACATGAGGATATAGCGAGGATATTCCATTACATGAGGATACTCACAGGTTTGTCAGGTTTGTTTGAAAATGAAGATGAAACTGATAATTCCAGTGTTGCAAGTGATGATGATATTTCAAGGTAATTACGTAAAAACCAATGAAATGTTTTTAAGTTTTTGGCCTAGTTAATTTTAGTTTTTGTAGTTCTCACATTATGATGGTTGTTGTTGACAGTTTTGGTAAAATTGGTAAAATGTTACAATTAACCTTTTGTCTTTGTTTGTGATAGTGTGGAAGATGAAGAACAAGAACAAGAATGTGTACAAGAAGGCATTTCTTTTGGACCTGGACGTCAATTTTCACAGTATGAAGATCGCTATAAAGTCCAAAAAGAATTGGCATTAGTGGAAGAATTAAAGGTGTTATCCTCGGTGTCAAAACTGGTAGAACTTTTCAAGATCTGCAGAGAACCTGGTTGCCTTGAAGGTAAATTTTATACGCATGCATAATTTTTTACACGGCTGACCAACACAATGTTTGGCTATCATTGCAAGCCCTACTGGTTTTATTTTCCATTTCTCAGGTGCAACGTAGAAATTGTAAAAATATACGCACAGTTTATTGTAGGCTTCCAGTGCATCAGTAATACATTCTTTATCTATATTTAGGTACCACAGTAAAGACCAAAGTATGTGGGGCTACGGTCGAAATTTCATGGTGTTGGGAAAAAAATCACAATGGAAAGTGGGCATCYTCAGAAAAATATAGTGGAGTTTATGCGAATAACATTCAGTTTTGTTCCGCAATCCTGTTGTCTGGTAACAACAAATTCTTGAATTTAGCTTGCCCATCAAAAGCATCKTATTTCAGAATCCAAAGGTTTTATGCCATCCCTTCTATTCAAGAGTGGTGGGAAAGTATGAGGGCAACCATACTATCRATGGTACAGGAAGATGTCATCATAAGCGGTGATGGCCAGAGTGATTCACCAGGGCACTCAGCAAAGTATTTGACATATTCTTATGCTGTGTAATGACCTTCAAGACTACATCATCCATGTTGAATGTCTTGACAAGCGAGAGGTAGGGGGAAAGTCTCCTAATATGGAAGTGGAAGCACTGAAACGATCAGTTACAAAACTTCAAGAGGACATCACGATAAAAGAAGTTGTAACTGATGCTTCAACCTCAGCAATTAAAATGATGGGTAAGTGGTATTACTGGCACTTGTCGAATCTAGTCTAGTCTTCATTCATCCGAATTAATATGTATTCTTCTAACTGTTATTTCAAAAGCTCATCTAACTACATAGTACATTTTAGGTTTCAAATCTGAAAGGCAATAAAAAGATAGGGCAGTGGGCAGACCACATCATAAACCATTTTTGGTTTTGTTGTGCTAACTGTAATGGAGAAGAAAGCACACTTAACACAGCATCAAAACACACGTTTACTTGCATTTAAAGCTGGTATAAAGCAAATATAAAGCAGGCTTTGACCAGCTTTACTCCACCTTTACATTTTGTAAAGTTCAGCTTTACTTCAGCTTTACAAGAGAATATAAAGCTGAAGTAATAAGACTCTATTGTATAGCTTTATATACGTAGTAAAGTAGTTGTAAAGCTTGTCTTTGCGCTAACTTTACCACGGTTTTTAACAGAAGTAAAGTATCCTTTATTCTTGAATAAAGCTGCTGTAAAGCTAGT